TGGTGTAAATAGTGGCCCTTCGGAATCAATGCAAAACGCTTTTGATTCCTCCTGAAGCTCATCTGTGCCAGCACCGTATATTCCCGAAGAAACTTCAATCCTCGTTGGGCAATGTCAGCAGCCTTTGGAGCCCGCAAGAACAGGCCCTGATGGTACAGAGAAGAGAGGAAGTAATTTGCATCGCATACCGCTTCCGCCTGGGATTGGAAGTCTGAACGACATTGAGCAACAGCATTTACATCAACTGTAACCATACTTAAAGCTCTAAAGCCATGCATCCCATCCCTCCCAACCAAACTAAAAACATTTCAATTGCAAAGCCATAGCAACACACTTCAAGTACAACGGGTCCTCAGTGTGCCCAACAACTTCCCTGGAGCAGTAGTCCTCAAACCACTGACACATGAGCCGAGTGAAGTCGCCCTTACTCCACCCAGCGTCCGGCCAGTCTTGGAAAGAGGCCTCAACACCAAAGAACTTTGAAGTCAACTTCTTGTGATACGGAGATTGTCTCTTCCATTGGCAATATGCTGCAAAGTCTTCTGTCAGCGCTTTGAATGCAGCTTCAAGACTCAATGGGTTCAAGAGCTCCAAGACACAACATACAGCCGATGCAACGAACGTCTTCCCCAGCCCCAAGTGGAAGTTGTGGAACAAGTCCCACCGAAAGAAGCCCGCCATGTCCGTGTCATCGAATGGGATTTTCAGGAGAGGGGACGCAGTGTCAAATGCAGGAAGGGATCCCACAGTCGAGAGCCACTGCGGCCTCTCTCCCAAAATCCTCAAAGGGAACCCCCAACTCCTCATTGCCAGCCATGCACTGGTGGCAAAGACTCGTTGCAGGTTTCTTTGAGCTAGGCCTTGTCGGTCTCCTAGTGAACGAGCGGTTGAAGCGGCCTGCCTTTGCCAAGAACGGAGCGTCCCCCCTTAACGCCCAAGCAGCACAAGAAGAACTTGCCGCCTCCGAGCTCCAAGCCACATTCAAACAGCTCTTTCAGCTCCCCAGCCACCAAGTCCAACATGTGGTAAAATGCATTGTCGCAATCCTTGTAAAGACTTACTGGCATGATGAAGCTTGGAAAATGGGATTTGATTGTGGCTCCGATCATATTGAGATTTAGAGGATGACTTTCCAAGTTGCCGACATGTCCTTCCACGTGCGCTTTGGAAGGTCGCGAACCACGACCCAGGCACCCATGTAGCGATACAATCATGACCTGCTTTTTCTTCAAAGATCTTCCCTCGTCGCCATGAAGGAGACACGGTAGCGTTTTCGTCAAGTCAATCAAGCCCTGCCTCTCACGCTCGAATATGACATGTTCTCCGTGAACGCTTCGATACCTCTTCCAAAAACATTGCCAACACTGGCCCCAACTCCTTGACATCTTCCACCCCTGTGAGTTGGTCCAAAGCATCAAACTCCACCAAGAATTTCAGCCACGAACCAAGCTTGATGTAAGGATAATCGGATTTTGTTGGAAGGTCTGTTTTGCTGATTGCAATATCCAAAGATTGTCCAAATTCTCTGAACACCCGGTGAGCTCCATTCTCACTCTTCCGCAAGCTTACCTGCGCCAGAGCTCTCATTCCTTTGCTTGGGTTCCTCGTCACACGAGCCTGCCGTACCGTGTCACGGCAGCTGACCTCAGCCGCAAGATATACTGACGCATGCAGCATGCATGCATGTTCACAAATGAGATCATGAAGCATGCACCACATGCAGAACTCAAGACACGCAGTTGCGCAAACTCTTGACTCCTTGCAACTGTGCTGTGACACATAAACTTTGCCAATTGAAGAATTTGGGGATAGAGAGGATCATACATTTTTCTTGCCATGCGTGCAGGGTTACACCTTCGATCTATGCTTGCATGCGTGCCGCGTCGAATTTGCACTGAGAATGACATCCTGCACAATATATGTATAATATACATACATGTGTGCACATGGAAAAGGATACTCACCTGACCCATTTCAACTGGTCAGCTCTTGCACCAACATGTAGTGTTCTTGATCTGTGGGGGGGCCTTCACCATCTATAAAGTTTATAACCGTTCATTTTGGACATCCATGCTGTGACTTGTGCCCCACCATCACCAACGCCTTGAATTTGTTGTTGCATGGAGCAGTGTCAAGTTGTCCTCCTTGTAGAACGAAAACCGAACCACTGGTTTGGATGTCATCCCAATTGTCAAATACGCTGTTGACATCCTGTCCGTGAAGCGGTCTACCTCAATCAAACACCGTTGAAGGATAGTTCCAGCAGAAGACTTGTGGCACTGCGGATAGGAGGCATAGGCTAGGTAAATGTCTACTCTTGCTTCTTTAGGGCGGGTTGCAAGGGCATGTGCTCATGTGCAGGGTCTATATAGACTCACAACTCAGGTTTGGGACATATATAGATGATGGGTTTCTGAGCTTGTTGCCAAACATCCCTTATAGGTAGCACAAATTAATGTTCCTCGTTTATGGCAAGGCACTTCCAGTTGGGGCACTATCCCATCACAAACACGTGGTGTAGGTTTGAAGGGAGCTACATTCCTTGGTTTCCCTCGTTTAAATTTTGAAACGTCAAAATTGCATCTAAGAAAAGGCACACATATAACTGAACGTCATTAACATTGCAGCTTGGAAACCCTGGACGCTGGTTTTCTTTTAGGAAGCGGGGAGCAGAGTTTTTTGCAAGTGATGGGGCACTCATAGGTCAGCGTATCACGAAGTTCATTTTCATAATATTCACTCCACTTCCGTTGCAAGATACATATAGCGAAGCACGTCGATTGCACATATGATCACAATATGTATGTCGCTATTTAAGCATGTATATAAGCTTTGAAGATGAGTTTTCTCAAAAGTGCGGTTACAAAAAGAGCTGTGCGCGGCACTGTGCTATAGAGATGATTGGGCCAGAAGGGAAGCCACGCAAGAGATGTTCTTTCATCAAGTGTTGCACTCCAATCCATACATGATTAAGTCTTTAAAGAACCAGGTTGAGGACTCGACTCCACGGCCCACCATACCCGCAAGCCCATGGAGCTCAGGTTCAGGACCTGGCCCGGCGATAGCTTGGCTGTCGAGGTGCCAGTGCGGGGTGGGGGATTGGCGGTGTCAGAAGTACATCCGCTGGCAGTGAAGCATTTTCCGAAACTCTTCATTGCTTGCGAGGGTTTTCGCATTGAGCGGGAACAGTTTCATGATCCCTGCAACGACTAAGCCAACCCGACAAGGGCAATCAAATTATCTAGCACGTGTTTCTGTAACACGGCCACATACCCATAGCTAGCTGTCTAATAAGCAAAAGTTTGGGCATCACTCATGATGCAACCCATCATAGGAAACAGATTCATGTTTCCTTTTCCTGCTCCTGCTCCGCAAGCTCTTTCAGCTTCTTCTTGATTGTCTTCTCGAGCGCCCTCAGAACTGACTCCCGACACGAACTTGGGAACAACTGTGGCATTTTTGAACCAATTTAGACAGACATTGCACACGCACAAATGATATACATTCTTCGCAATTCGGGCTACCCAAAGCGCAGGCAAGTGGCTTGCCTTGCGCCTCCATCGACGACAGCGCCGCTGCCCTCAGAAAGGTTGGGGTATAGGAAGATGTTTGGGGAACATAGATGGCCCAGGTCCTATCAAGCTCATGCTCCCACCATTGCAGTTTGTTATTTAGATATGTTTTGAAATTGACAAACCGGTTTCTGAACTCCACGAATCAGGTGGATCCCAGACGAGAACCATCAAATGCAGACCAGAATCTTGCCCATGCAGTCTCGCATTTTCGTCTTGACTTCTTTGGCAGTCCTGAGTGGAATCAGCCCATTGGGCAAGCCACACTACCAATCTGCCATGTATAGATATATGGTCAATTTTATCTCTGTACTGTCATCAGGTCCATGCATCCCAAAACGTTATTACGCAGTCTCAAATTTGACATACTTGACCTATAAGTCTATCACATATGTAAATATGGGAGTGGACATACCCATGCTAAACCATCCTGAAAGTTGATGCGTGCGTGTGTTTTGTCAAAGGCTCTGTATGGCATATGCTTCAGGATTTCGGATCACACCAACAAACATGCAACCGGGGTTCTCCGCAGTTCGAGCTGATGCCACAGTCCCAGCCGACAACCGGCTCTCTGCAAAGGCATCGTATGCCTTTTGCGCAGCTTGGAGCTTGTCATCCAAGGCCATCACAATCCTGGGCATAGATGGTCACTGTGGGATGTTCGGGCTTTGCGCAGGGTCTTTTTCTTTGGTAGAATCTTCACTGGTGGACGAGTGTTTAGGCCATGTTTCCATGCATATATATATATATACGATTAATATATGTATATATATAGATATACCTGCATCCTGGCACAAACCTTGGGATATCATAAGACTAGGAACTTCTTGCACCGTGTCTGGTCATCCGCATTGCAGCCTTCTGTAGACTGCAGCCCCTCGAGTTTGCTCATCAAGTCCGTAATCTTGCTCATCTTGGTCAGCATGCCCTGGTCGAACTTCTGTTCCACCTCCATTTCCTAAGATGGCCGACGGGTTTCAGTGAAGTAAGATGGTCAGTTCACACAGGGCAGAAGTGCATATAACCCATTCATGTGAACTACATCCCATGCATGTACTGCATCCATTTCCTGTGCAAATGTTGGCAGTTCAAAACAACGTTTCAAGAACCACGTATAGAACATACACACACATATATATACATGAGACCATTCCATGCGCACACCTATTTAAAGCGAGCTGAAGTGCCCCTTCTTCTGGTGATTGGGCTTTGTGGCGGGTTGGAGACTCCGGCACACTTGCGGGAGGCTCCACAGGTGTCATCCACTTGTCAGCAAGCTTGGGCCCCTCAGCCTGCATATTGCATGGGAATCTACCCCTGTGTTGTTTGCAGTGAGTATACTCATAGTCACCTTGACATCTAGCCTCGACCGACTAGTTTCCACAAAATTACATACCACGAATTCACCATGCAACGTAGCCAACACTCTTAATGCATGTACATGAGTGCCTTCTCCTCAGTCGAAGTATGCTGTTGGCTCTCAGTGTAGACCTTTTTCTTCGACTCTTTGTCCGAGTAGTCGACAAAGTACTTGAACACCTTCTCGCTGTACTTGTCGTTCCTCAACTCCAGTGGCCGGTGAACCAGGTTCAGAAAGCCAAATAAGTTTAAGCAATTGTAAAATGGAGGGGGATGAAGGTTTTGGTTGGGGGTTGCACGGGTCATGGCCAGCTTCTTATTTTGCAAGCAAAGCTTCTTGACCAGACCATGCTTCTTGCAGTAAGCCACGGCATCCTTGATGTAGGACCTGAGATAGCCGGTTGACACAGTTTGTGGTAGGCAAAATTAACACCTCAGCTTTCCTCCATGAAAGATACAATTAGGGGCGCATGTCAAGCAACACCCACACTCAAAGATATCACAGGTCTGGGAATTAGAGTTTCCGAGCCACAAACAATTTTAGATTTTTGCGTTGAATACTAACCGCGTTAACATACCGACGAAGCTTGATTTGTACACCCCCACACCCCACATCTCCTCCATGCATGAATTCTTTACAATCACGCATGTTTATAATTCCTATATCTAAAACCAATCCTTTTAAAAGATGTTCGCTTGTTGGGACATCATGCACATAGCTTTTTCTGTTGAGGAGCTGGCTCCATTTCAACTCCGTTTTCATCTGATCTGGCGTAAACCATCCAGATTGGATTTCTTGGGAGTCCTCGTTCCTTTGCTCAATCAACTTCACGACTTTGGCGATGAAGACCTCCTGCATTCAAGGGATGACTACAATATGCCATTTACAATGGAGACCAAACCCTGCTAGCAAAAGCGGTGATGTATTTTTAAACTTTTAACATATTTCCCCAAACAAAAATGGCTCCTTGTTGAGATCATATTTTTCAAAGAAAGCACGGAGTTCATCCCTTGCTTTGCCCCCTTGCTGCCATTGATCATGAATAGCAGCAGGTACATTGAGCTTACCGCTCGGTTTCTTCTCGCGCAATCGTCTCAGCCGAGCATCAACCATCGCATATCGCTTTAAGGCCTCCGAATGGTCATCCGGATCCTCGACAGCCTCCATCGACAGAAGGCGAGCGCAGGGAAGTCAAATCCGTTTAAAGTTTAAAGGGGTAAATGTTGTTGTCAATAACATGGACAATCACCAACCAGAGTTGAAGCTCTCTTCAAACATGTCAGTTATACTTTTCTTCTACGAGCACCCTGCAAAACCGTATTGATCGTACTATTTTAAGGAACGCAACAATTTTGGGCTAGAAGCAGACCCAGTGCTTGAAGCTTTGGACAGCGCGGATTTTGGAGTGCTAGCTGACAAACGGGATGGTGGAGTAGCTGTGCTGCCAGGGGAGCTGGACCCGGAAGCTAGCTTGAGCTTCTCAATCAGGGCCATGGCATCATCCAGCTGGCTTTGCAGTGATGCCACTGATTTGTCAACTGCCATACCATCATCCTGCACAATAAACCGCAACTTCAAACCCACCCCATTACAACTTCAATAAGCTGGGCATTCATTGGATTGTTGATCCAACATTGGATATCAAAACAGTGATCCCATGTATATGTTTGAAATACATGTGCCTCAATAGACAGACTTTGCTTGTAACAGGTCCTTCTTCGCCTTGCTTTTTGCGCAGCGAGCAGTAGGAGGATCCTTATTGAAGCAATTCAAGATGTGAAGTGTGGGATGTAGGAGCAACCTCCTTTTGGGGAAAACACTTTTGTACAAGGGGTATGTAGAGTTTTGTTCAAGTGTGCTGTGAGAGGTTGCAGCCTATATACAAACTGCATGGAGAGAATCCCCATGATTCACTCGGCTGAAGGAAAAACCATGCATGACACAAGCACTAAATCACATGGCCTCATTTCAATCTCACCTAGCTGTATGCATAATGTTTCTGGTGGGTTGCACATGGAAAGGATGGACAGGCTATTGGTGTACAAATGTGGTGTATGTGTGTATAAAGTGCAAACAGGCGACGTCTTGACGAACTTTCTTCGCTGGGACCTGACCCTTGACCGGTGTCGTTTGGGTCGACGGTGGAGGTGGTCTCTTCGCGGCAGCTTGAAGTTCAGCTTCCGTTGCCTGGTGGCAGGCGCCGCTGCTCTGGAGGACTGTAAACCAAATCGAACATATGTCCAAATGGGTTGAAATAATTTCATGTGTTTCCGATGTGGCTTCTGTTTTTGTGAAGGGCATGAGCCTTAACATGTTCCCACCCACTCCCAACAACTCCCTTCCAACTGCCAGCAGGACACTGGCTGCGTTTCATCATCCATGTGTGGCCCATCACCAGGCACCTGCAGGCACACATCTGATGGTGTGGTATCCCATCAAAAGCCTTTTGTTCTAGCACCGCATTTTGTGTTAGGCCTTGGGTCGAATCATCCCCAACCCAAGAGCCTTGGGTTGGGGATGATTCCAAAAAGGTTCTTTGGCGTGCATATATGTGTGTGTGTCCCACATGTCTGACGAGCAGCCTCAAGGTTTTGGTGCAAAGAGTCTTCCGCCTTCTCAAGAGCTGCCAACTGCTCTTGCAAATCCTGCCCATGCAGCGACAAACTGTTACACCATGATTACATCTACATATACATCGCTTTACCCCTCATCCCCCAGTTCAAATATCTCAGCTGTTTCGGGTTGCGAAGTCTGCAGCATTGGGCATATAATCTACTGCATGTTCTCACCAATGGAAGCCAACACCCCAACTTGGTGCACATGCAATTCAAGCAAGGAAGGTCGTGCGATGCGCCTTGCCTTCCTTTTTTGTGCAAGTGATTGCTTTTGTTCCTCAGTCTTGGCTGCCAAGAGCAAGTTGTTGCCATCCGCCAACGAACCACAGCTCCACGTTTTGGATGGAAAGTGAGGGGCAGTCATCGTAGCCCCAAGCCAAGAACGCTGAGGAACCCTTGGAAGGTCAGGCGCACGATACAGGAGTCACCGGTCCCTCCGAGCCACATATGACATCCGTTCTCCATGCAGTGGATAAACTTAGCAACGTGCAGTTGGATAATGTCCAAAACGCACAGCTTAAGCACCATTGAAAAACACCGTTTCTAGCATCCACACAAACTGCCTATACATGTATGGCTCCCATTATTTCATGTCTTTTACATGTAATGGCACTGCTTAGCTTCGTCTTTTTACTATGGCACACACGACATGCAGCCACAGTTCAAATTACATTCCAAAGCCTGCAGCTCTTTGTGTCAGAAAGGCATATCAGCTCAAAAACCAGTCAAGTTCGGTCAATCAGCTCCAAAACAGCCTACAAAAAACTACGGAAAAACTACGTAGAACTACATAAGATCTTACGGATTTTTATGGGTTTTCTACGGGGTTTTTATGGGTTTCTTACGGCTACGGATTTTTCTACGGGCTATTACGCGTAGAAAACCTGGTTTTTGAGCTCCTGCCCCAAACCTGACATAAAATCGCGTTTCAGCGTTCTGTGAATTTATGGCAGGCATGTTGCCGGCCTTGGCAGCTTTTGGAAACTAGCCTGAATTAGGGAGGAGGTGATCTCGCCACTCTGGGGGAATGGAAAGATTGCAATTCCCTCGAAGATATTGGAGCACTTCAATCATGCCCGCGTCCTGCCACCAATCTGAGAACTCAAGGCTTTGGTAAAGCGCCAGTGGGTTGAAGTCATTGGGACAGGGCGGGATAGTTTTGCACCCTGTGCGCATCAGTTCAGGTAGCACTCGAAGAATACGAAGACCAAAACGATACGGATAGGTCCTTAAGTGGATGTGACACCACTTGAACCACACTGGTCCACCAGGGTTTAGGATCCAAACATCTCTCACACCTCCAGATATCCAGGACCAAGGTTCACCACAATTGCGGTGTTTGGCCGGAACATCAACTAAATTATGTTTTAATTTGCCTAGAACAGCAGTCATGTAGCCTAACCCCACCTTATAATTTGGACTGGTTCAACCAAACACATACCACAACCAGCACATTTGCACACATAGTGGTTGAGATCCCCAAATATAACGCAGCAAGAGTGCGTGTTTGATGAAGGAATTGGAATGTGATCTCACCGAGGGGAATGTCCAACAACAGTAAAACACAGGTGCAAATACTGCTTTCCCTTGTGTTGGAAGCCTGTTTTGGAATCAACCCCTTGTCAGAATTGAAGCAAGGAACTGAGAAGCTTTGAGCTGCTTCTTTCGTCCCTGGAACATTTTCTGGCCAGACTTGTTGGTATACACAGTAGTGGTCCTGTGTGAATTGTAGCTGTGTGAAGCATAGTTCCAGCCACGAAGTTTCCCCAAGTTCAACAAGCCTATGCGGGAAGAGTTGCTCCATCCAACATGTCGCTTCGGTGTACGGGCTCCATAATGTCCCATCCACCATCGTGTCGACCATGCCTGAGGCGCGGCCAGTCGATCAGCACAATTGCAATGGCATCCATGGACCATGGAGGAGATTGGCGGTTTGGTTTTCGGGGTGGACACACTGGAAAGTTGTATTGGCCCCCTGCCCCCGGCAATGTATTGGGCATTCCCTGCATGCATGATAACTGGTATACAGCTTACAGGCCTGACCAGCCTTGTGTGTCATATTCAAGTGGCAGGTTGCGCGAAACACATCGAATGTGTCAGACACACGTGGGTGCCAGCGGAGGAGGCTGCTCACCGGCTGCTCTACCAGCCAAGTCAATGACATTGCTTCTGCTGCATAGATCAAGAGGGCCAACCTGACTACACAGAGGTGCACTGTACCTTATTTCACCCTCCATGCCATATGTGTAAATTGTTCTCTTATTCAACTATGCTTTTGGGAAGGGGAACGATGAATCAATGTTGTATCCATAGACGTGCGTGGCGCTTTATAAACACTGAATGCGTCCAACTTAAAACTTACAACAAACCACCTGCACGCCATACGGTTTGCAGTCCGAATGTATTCCAAATGAACTCGGCCACATGGGTCAGCAAAGCTT